TCTGAAATTTTGGACTGCCGTGCACCGAGTTATTTTAAGCACCGTGACCGGCTGCCGGGCATCTTACACACTGTGTTTAAAATACTCAGAGAAAGTTCGTGTAACTACATTTCTCGACAAAATTGGCGAAGTTTGCCCGTCCGCATATAAAACCTTTTTATATTAATACTCAGCCAGCCACGCTTCATCTGTAATCGGTTCGTCGCTGTACTTTAAAGCGTTCATGTCGCGATATGCTTCAGGATGCTTCAAAATCGTCTTCGATAAAGTGGTCATTTTGCGCATTGATCGGGTTTCAGATTCAACTTCATAATTACTCAGAAATGTAACAAGAGTCTCTACATTCACTGCTGCAATCAGACATGTCTTTTTTCAAGAAAAATCAGTCGTTTTAAAGATCAGTTCAGTGAAGTTTAGTGTTGTTTACCGTAAGCTTGTTCCGTGAATGACGTCACTGGACGGACTAGTACCAGGCCTCCATAACGCTCGACTTTTATCAGCTCATTCCGCAGTTTGAAAGCTTAAAAATATACGAAATTTATATAGTATCGCAAAATTTTCTTTAATTATGTGATTTTTAATGTCCAAACTTTCATTTGAAAGAAAAATTGCTGAACCGATATATGCACTTTAAGAAAGACAAAAGTCATTTGATATTCTATTTTGTTAACATCCTCAATAAAGGAGATATTTGTATTTTTTTTCTAAAAAAGGATGAGATTTCATGTAGCTCATGATATCCTGATATGTCATTACTTTGACATTGTCGATATATTGATAAGTCCATTCCATTCTATTTATAGAATGTCAGTACCAGGGCGACCAGACCCGGCAGTTGTTGGCAAAGTAACTCACAATTCTATAGAACTCTACTGGAACCCCCCTGAACAAGCTTCCCCACGTAAGGGAGATGACCGTCCTAAATACTGTGTTCAGGAGGAGGAAGTTGGCACCAGAAGTAAAGGATTTGGGAATGTATACTCTGGTTATTCAACCAGCAATGTATTTACTGGCTTAGAGCCGCGGTCGCAATATCGCTATCGGTTACGTTGCATGAATAACTATGGAAACAGTGCATGGAGTGTTGTTGTCATGGTGACCACCACCAGGAAGCCAAAGACAAGTGAAGACCTGTTGAAAGCTGTTGGAAAGAGGGACTTGGAAACTGTTAATAAGATTCTACCAGGTTATTATAATAACAACATCAGTAGCTTGAGTTCTAGTAGGACCCTGGAGCACAAACAGTTCTGACATGTGACCCATGAGCAGGGAATGTGGAGCAGCTGTGGGGGGAGTGGAAGGGAGTCTAGGTGGTGGTGGTGGTGGTGGAGGTGGGGGGGGCTGGTGTCCTCCCATTATTTTTTTTATTCCATTTCTTTTTAATTTGCTACTTAGAAAAAAATGAAGAAGTAAGCTCTCCTACCATTCTCAAAGTCCCTCAAAATGCGGAAAATCGCATTCTCCAGGTTCAAAAGTTCCAATTCCTGGTTGGACCCCATACTTGAGCCTGCCTTTTGTGACCATTAGCCCTCCAACCAAAAATATGCTCCGCAGTTGCTGTCAAATCATTGTCAGACATTATTTTGGTGTAATATATATTTGTTAACAATTTAACCGAAGATATATTACATCAATGATAATAATTTTGTTCTTAGAGTTAAGTTGGCAAGCAGTGGATTCTCCAGACAAGTTTGGYATTTCTCCTCTAATGATTGCTGGTGAGGGAATTTTTTTTTGTCCAGATTATTAGCTATTGTGCAGATGTTTACATATAAATATATGGGAAATGTTTGTGATTGATGTGAGGGGAGAGGTGTGGAGGAAAAGGGAAGGAAGGGAGTGCATCATGTAAAAAATCCACAACTATGTTGCTGTACTTGCTTGGCTGGACTCAAGGTTACCTTGATTTGCAAAATCATTTATCCAACACTATCCACACAGAGAAATATTTTTTTTTCCACAGTAGTAGGCAAAGTGCAGTGGTGCCATTTTGCACAGTGAAACATGATGTTAGTCGTAGTCCTCACACTTTTCATATCCCCTAAAAATTGCTTTAAATTAAAAGCTGTGCCATTTATTAGTTTCTTTTGCAGAACAACTACTTCTATTTCTGCAGAGAAAAAAAGCGGCTTATGAGAACTGTTTGGGTGGACACAAAAAAAGTGTGATGGTCCTGTAACTCCCATCATGCTTTGCTGGAAATTATGATGTTACTCCACATTTCCTATTAATAGATTTATAGACCATGGATTATTAATGACATTGACTGTTATTACAGCTCAAAAAGGATACACAGAGATTGCACAAACGTTACTGGACAACAAGGCTGATGTACATTTTCAGAATAGCAGCGGCAAGACTGCATTGATGATGGCATGTTACTCAGGTACTTACATGTATTAGTGCACAGACATTTTGTCCATTGATCTTAATTCAGTTTTGAATTCATATCTTACAATCGCTGTTTTATTTGAGAACAGATTCTCTGTGAGCAAAGACCTGACCAAACACAAAAGAGAGCACAAGAAAATGTCTTTATTATAATAGCCTTGAAAATTTGCATTTTTCCGGTGTTGAGAGTAACCCTGTATACCCATAAGACCTAAGGTATGAGCCTCCTGGGAATACAGGGTTAGCCTCAACTGGTGAAAATGTAAATTATTAGCATTGTACTAGATAACATTTTCTACTGCTTTCTTTTGTGTTTGGTAAGTTCGTAAGTTCTTGCATAAGACTCATAATCTGCTATAAAATAAAACAGTGGTTATTTCCTTTGAATTCAAAAATGGAGTATAAGATTCAGCATCTATTTATTCATTGATTCACTGATTCATCGATTATTGATCCACTGAACCATTGAATAATTGATCCGCTGATCCATTGATCCACTTTTCCTCCTAGGCCAGCTTGAGGTTGTGAAACTTCTGCGAGCATATGGAGCGTCATGGGATATCATAGACAAAACAGGTTGTACATCATTGCATTGGGCAGTTGATGGTGCTAATCTAGATGTCTTGCGATGGATGCTTGCTGATGGCTGTAAAGTTGATGTCAAGGACAATACATCAGGTGATTCATAGCACATTCTCCTACCCAAATCCTCTTCCGTTTTCCAATGGAAGGGGTTCAGAATGCTGTCTCAGAAATCACAAGGCTCGCCAAAAATTTCCCACGGCCCGCAAGCTTGGCGCTTAAAGGAAAGGGGCTCGAATTTAAAATCACTTTTGGCTCAGAAGCTTGCAATTGCTGAAACATCGGACTCATTCAGCCAAAGGCTCGGGCTCGGATTTTAAAACAAGGGGCTTGCAGGCTTGGCGAGGCTTGGATTTTACCATTTGATATCCCTAATGGAAAATCGAAGGCTCTGGTTGGAGATAATACTGGAAGATGCAGAATCTGGGTTGTATGATATAAGTACATGTAGTGCATATCAAATAATATCATTCATCTCCAACCAGAGCCTTCTGCCTTCAATTTGGAAACTGAGAAGGATCTGGGCTCGAAAGTACAGTAATTCACAGCATAGCTGGTTTATAAATGTTAAATATTTGCATTTGGTAATAAATTGCTAATATG